GCCAGCAGTGCTCCGCCTCCCCAAAATAGCTGCCCTGAGGGAGGCCGCAGCTAATCCCCCGGCTCAATCGCCGCGCCGATGAATCTGGACCTGGAATCAAAATAGCCAAGTTGATCTTCAGGATAATTAGTCATGCACAGCTGAGCTCCCGGTCAAAGCAGCTCAGCCACCACCATGAAGCAGAGGAGACCACGATGCAGCTCCAGCTTTAAATAATGGGGCTCCAGGGCTGCAAGCCCTGCAAAACAAAACACCAGGGTGCTTGGTCTAAATTGCTCTCAGGCCAAGGATCCACAGGGCAAGGCCACGGGGGGCCTGGAGAGACCAGCTTGCAGCATGTGAGCAGGTAGGTGGGCAGCTGACCCAGCAGGCACAGGCACGCACGGCTCCAGCAGGAGCACCCGAGGCCACACCGGATCGCTCGTCTTTTGGGGAGGAAGAGAGGGAAAGAAACCAGACGACCCAAGGGAAAACACCTCTCAAAGCAGTCCTTCTCCCTTCCCAGGAGACAGTGTTCATGGCCAACTTCTGGAACTAATTGTTTCATTAAAAACCACCTGGCATCCCATTCTTGAAGCGTGTAACGGCTCACACAATTTCCCCTGGTACACGATTTAACATATCAAAAACCATCAACTTTCCCCAAATAAGCATGGCTAAGAAAGCCAGCAGAGCTCAACGGTGTTGGACAAACCTTCTCAGAGAGTTGGTGCTTGTTCACATGGTCCAAGCCCAACCTTCAGCAAACACTCCTGGTCCAGAGAGACCCCTCTGTTTGTTACATCTGAACGCAGCGGTACCAGCAATGAAAGAGCTTGGTTAATACTTCTGAGGGTAAGATGGGAGGATAATCTGCAGCCTATAAATAGGACCAGTAAACCACAATTACAAACTCTGCTGAGACAATTCATTTATCCAGATGTTCCCATCATGTCATTCTCAATTGAGCAGTAAATGATGGGCCTAATGGGCATTTCTCCGCTAAATGCCACATATGAGAAATCACAGCTCCAAACCCGATGCTGCTGATGGTACGGGACCTGTCAGAGGCAAAACCTTCAGATATTTCTCATTCTCTTTTTGGACAGGTTTCAAGCATCAAAATTCCTCGGTTTGGGGGAAGATATGGAGAGGAGACGAGGCTCTAGGCAGATGTTTTATTTCCATTTCTTCATCTGACGCCTGTGGAAGTCAAGTCCTTCCCCCTAAAACCGGAGGGGTGACCAGCCAGCCTATGCCACCCCCTGCCCACTCCTGATGGAACATCTCCTAACAGTACTTTTTCTCCTAAAAGGGGTGGTGAGTCCCATGCACACCTAGGGAGCAGGGGTGTTGAGTGAGGTGGCCACCTGAAACCCATATCCTTGCAGAGCAGCTTATTTACAGCAGTAGCTGACTATTTCTACCTGATTTTCCCAATGTCCTGAGGGCACAGGAGGATCAGAGGAATGTCAACCCTTAAATAACCCAAGCCTTGTGTTTGCACGGAGCAAATGGACTCATGCAATCAAATTAAACACTGCAAGTTTATCAACATTTCCTCCAAGTGCCTCAAGGATAACAAGTTTAGTAGAAGCTATTTAGAAGAAAAACAGGACATTGGAGATAAAGAACGAGCTCTTTAATACACCTCTGCTTCCTGTGCAATGGCTTCGCCGAAGGTCTGGAGGAAGAGATGGATTGCATCTCATCAAGCTTGCAGATAGCATCGAACCAGGTCCTGCCCCTGGGACGCACTCAGCCCCTGCACGGGGACAGCCCGTGTTGGGGACAGCTCTGCTGGGATGGCCCCAGGGGTGGGAGTTCACCCCCAGCACAGACAGGAGACCCAGGGAGGTGGTTATCCCCTTCTCCTGCCACTCACCACATCTGCCTCCAAAGGTGTCGACAGAGGGGGACAGGTCCCGCGGAGACCCCCACGGTGGCCAAGGGAAGGAGCAACAGCAGGAGCCCTAGACATTTTTGAGGACCAGATGAGGTTTCTCAAAACCAGGAAACCTCCCACAGTCATTCCACTCTCTTTTCTTCCCCTCCATTTTGTCACCAATAAAGGGGAAGGAAAACCCAAGCTGTCCTTTTCAAAATCTATCTATCTATATATACATACACACATATATAGAGATTTTAGTTTGTCACAGAAGAAAGGGGCATGAAGCAGGAAATCAACCAAAATCTTTCTTACAAAAAGTGTAATTTTTGTGCAAAACGCTCATGGCATACGGCAACATCTGCTCGCCATTTCCAACTGACCTCAATCCCCGCCTTGTGTCGCAAGAGCTCATTTTTGTCTGCCACTTCGTTTTCCCGGAGAAAGGCCACGGCACAACAACGCTGTACGATGCGGAAAGCCATCTGAGAGTGGAGAACGGGTTTTTATTTTCTCTTTTCAGGCCCTCACACCAATACACAGACACCCCTGACTGGTCTTTGCAACTTTAATCAAAACCATCTCACCAGGAGAATGATTTACGCCATGGTGGTACTGAAAAATTCAGCTCTGCTGATTATAAATAGGAAAGAGCTAATCCAAAGAAAGCATCATGCAGGTGGTTCGCAATTAAAAAAAAAAAAAAAAAAAAAAAAAAAAAAAAAAAAAAAAAAAAAAAAAAAAAAAAAAAAAAAAAAAAAAAAAAAAAAAAAAAAAAAAAAAAAAAAAAAAAAAAAAAAAAAAAAAAAAAAAAAAAAAAAAAAAAAAAAAAAAAAAAAAAAAAAAAAAAAAAAAAAAAAAAAAAAAAAAAAAAAAAAAAAAAAAAAAAAAAAAAAAAAAAAAAAAAAAAAAAAAAAAAAAAAAAAAAAAAAAAAAAAAAAAAAAAAAAAAAAAAAAAAAAAAAAAAAAAAAAAAAAAAAAAAAAAAAAAAAAAAAAAAAAAAAAAAAAAAAAAAAAAAAAAAAAAAAAAAAAAAAAAAAAAAAAAAAAAACAAAAGAAATGCCCAAAAAGCCCCCACAGAACAGCATGTTCCCCATATGCAACATCCCTGCTCTCCCTGATGCTGCTGCATTAAGTAGGGTTCCCTTATCACCCTCATTATCCCCCCAAGGATGCCGCCGAGCGCTCCACCAGGAAAGCAGACCGCATCTCCAGTTCTCCTAAGTCATAAATCACCACTAATTCCCTGACACTGATTACAAACAGGAGGCTTAGCAGAAGACTGCCATGCCGTACCACGCCAGCCTCTCCCTCTAGTTGCTAAGAAAAATCAACACACAACTTTTGGAAGCAGCGGGCGAGCCAGCAGGTCCGGTGGGACAGTGTGGGATTTTCTCGTAGGGTCTGAGAGCATCTCAGTGGATTGTGGGGTTTTCAAGCTGAGTTTGGGCATTTTGGACTGTCTGGAGAACCTAAGTGCTGAGAAAAAAGAAAAAGCTCATGGGAAATATGTCCATCAAGCAGTGAGTCACCAGAAGAGCCGTGACGGGGATCCCAATCTACTGCCTTATTAACACATCAATACCCAGCATGTAGCAGACAGTGAGAAGAGTGGTCTCCTGTTGAAGCTCTGCCACTGGGGTGTGTGGTTTTTCATACGTACATAACTGTATTGAGCAAGACTGCCATCCTAATTTCCAAACACTGCTTAGGTTGGCCTCCTTGAAAGCCCATTTAATCACAGAATGGTTGAGGTTGGAGAGGACCTCTGGAGGTCCACCTCATCTTGCCCAACCGCCCCTGCTCAAGCAGGGCCACCTAGAGCTGGTTGCTCATGACCATGTCCAGATGCTTTTGAATAATCTCCAAGGATAGAGACTCCACAACCTCCCTGGGTGACCTGTGCCAGTGCTCGGTCACCCTCACAGTGAAAAAGTGTTTCCTGATGTTCAGAGGGAACCTCCCATGCTTCAATTTGTGCCCATTGCCTCCGGTCCTGCCACTGGGCACCACCGAGAAGAGCCTGGCTCTGTCCTCTTTGCACCCTCCCTTCAGGTATTTATATACCTTAGTAAGATCCCCCTGAGCCTTCTCTTCTCCAGGCTGAACAGCCCAAGCTCTCTCAGCCTTTCCTCATAGGAGACATACTCCAGTCCCTTCATCATCTTCATGGCCCTTTATTGGACTCTCTCCAGTATGTCCATGCCTCTCTTGCACTGGGGAGCCCAGAACTAGACCCAGCACTCCATGGGTGGCCTCACCAGTGCTGAGTAGAGGGAAGGATCACCTGCTGGAAACACTCCTCCTAATGCAGCCCCAGATACCATTCACCTTCTTGCTGCAAGGGCACATTGCTGGCTCATGTTCAATTCAGTGTCCACCAGGACCCCCAGGGCCTTTTCTGAAAAGCTGCTTTCCAGCTGGATGGTCCTCAGCATGTCCTGGTGCATGGAGTTGTTCCTCCCCAGGTGCAAGACTTTGCACTTCTCCTTGTTGAACTTCACGAGGTTCCCATCAGCCCATTTCTCCAGCCTGTCGAGGTCCCTCTGGACAGCAGCATGACCCTCTGGTGTGTCACTCACTCCTCCCAGCCTGGTACCATCTGCAAACTTGCTGAGGTTACACTCTGCCCCATCACCCAGACCATTAATGAAGAGGTTAAGCAGGACTGGACCCAGCATTGACCCCGGGGTACACCGCTAGTTGCTGGCCTCCAACTATTCTTTGTCCAATGATCACCACCCTCCAGGCCTGGCTATTCAGCCAGTTTTCAACCCACCTCACTGTCTGCTCATCCAGCCCACACTTCGTCAGCTTGTCTGTGAGGATCTTATGGGAGACGGTGTCAAAAGCCTCACTGAAGTCCAGGTAGACAACATCCACTGCTCTCCCCTCCAAGCTCACCTCGTGGCCCCTCCACAAGTGACTGGGACAGGGAAGACCCTTCAGCTGGACCCAGCAGGGACGGAGCCAGGGCAGCATCAGCACTTGCAAAGTGGAGTGAAATGGCACATTTGTTCCCCCCCATGAAATAAAACCCACCACTGACCTCCTTACATCCCAAAATCAAAGATGGGTGCAGGCAGTCCTGGGACGCCGGGAAGGGAGGGGCGAGCAGAGGGACCTCACTTACCCCACAGTCTCATCCCAGTCGCACCAGAGCCGCTGCCCAATGCCCTCCATGCTGAGCTGGAACTGCTTCAGGCAGTAGTGCTGGATCATCCAGCCGTAGTCCGCCTCCTGGCACGCCGTCGCCACGATGAAGTGATGGGCTGGAAGACAGGCAAGGGTTAGGCTCTGCCACGGCGGGTCGTGGCCCAGTGACAACCCCTTGCTCCTCACCGTGCAGGCCCCCTGCAGCTTTTCACGCAGAGGGCATCTGCCAAAGCAAAGCTGGACATCAAAGCAAGCCCACTCTCAACCAGCTTCTTCAAAAGCTCCTTCTCAGGGTTTTATTTCCCTCTTCACATCCCTCTGACCCTGCAGCATCATCCTCCATTACCTCCCAAGTGCCCGATGCTAGATAAATCAATTATTCAAAATATGCCAGGTAAGTCATAAATAAGTAAGGACGCAGATTTATTCTCTGCTGATGATTTGACACACGTCTTTGGACTTTAAATTCCAGTTTTTCGGTTTACAAAAAGAGTAAGGGTGTAGGGGAAGTTGGGGAATAACCCCACGGCTCCCAGCCGGATCCCTGCTGCTGCTGAGCAAAGGACCCCTTAAAAATTATCTGCACGGTGCCACACTTGGAAACAAATATCCATCTCCGATGGAACGCAGGGACAAGTGCAGTGAAATTAATCTCTGGCTGCACGGTGCTGATTTAATTCACCTCTGGGTATGCGTCCCTGCTACACAGTGCCTTCTGGTTTGGGACCAGAGAAGGAAGAGATGCTGCTTACTTCTCTACAAGTTTGTGCACAATTAGTGCAATGCTGCTAGCAAGTGGAAAGGGAAAAGGACAGTAATGCTACAAAGGGAAGAGGGAGCAGGCTCGAAGAAAAAAAACCTTCAGAGGAATGATTTACTGAGCCTGCCTATAAATAATATCTTTCCCTTGGTCCCAAAGTGCCAGCTAGTGCCTTTGCAGCTCCTGGAGTACATCGCAGGCAGGCATCACATACCAGCTCTATTTTTTGCTATGCGTGAATAACTCTGCGCAAAAGAGTGGGGCTTTATTTTTATTTTTATCTTACTTTTTAACAAAACAGAATTTAGCTACTTATTTAGCGGTCTGCATATGAAAGCCATGGGACATCACCAGTGGCTCCTGCCCGGGGGTTGCCCTCCTTGATCAGTCCCTCCACAGCCCCCAAATCCTCGGAGTGCTTAGGTACCAGCATCCTATGGCAACGGGTGGGAACTCAGGACCCGCTAGGGGATTTGGGTGGCAAGGGGCCCCCAGACCCTTGGGCGAGGTTTCTGGATGGCTGCAGGGCTCCCACACTGCCTCCCATCATGGCAGCCGCTTTGGTCCGGCTCAAGATAAGACAATGTGAGTTATCAAGCCAAGGGTAGGGAGTTAAGGAGCATTAAACCCTCACCGTTGCAATAATAAAACCGAGTTTATCATAATCTAAAGCTCTCCCCAACTGATACCACCCAGGGGCTCACCCTACAGCACCTGCGCAACACAACCTCAGCCAGAGACAAGCCCTGCTCTGAAATGGGAAGGTTTGGGATGCTGAAGCAAAGCGCCAAGTGAGGAAGAGGAGGAGGAGGAGGAGGCAAGGTGCAATAATTTCACGTGAGACCTGGACTGCAAATCTCAGTCTGGGCAGGCTCAAGGATGATTGGTGGCTGGGAGTCTTTTCTCCCCTTCCCATCCCTTCAAATCTGGATGAATCAAGTGAACAAGTGACATGGCTGAGCGAGCACCAGCATCCAAGGGAGGTTCAGGTGCCACCCTGAGGGGTCACCCCTCGGTGAAGACCATGCACTGGACTGCGAAGGACAAGTGCCCTGCAAACATTACGCCCATCACGCGGCCGGACAAACAACTTGCAGAGAAAACACCACCAGCGAACACGTCGAGAGCAAAGCAGGAGAGAGCTGCATAAGGGAAGCAAGGAGAGCAGGGGAGGCGAACAGATTAAAAAGCAGCTGGATGAGCAGCTGAGGGGATTGAGGAGCAAAGGAGGAAATGGAGCCAGGCAGAAATGAGCGAGACACGCAAAGCGTGGAGAGAAATTGAGGAAGACAAAACCGCTTTAAGAAATTCAACAGCGATACAGCACAAGAAGAAAGAGAAGCAGAAGTTAACTGAGCATGGCCAGGCTGCCCTTCGTCTGGCTTCACTCCTCCCCACTCCCGATTAGCACGGATGGGCCTAGAGACAAGTCATCATTTGTACCACAAAAACAACTATCCTTAGAGATGCCCAAACATTTCCTGACGACCGCGCAGCTGCTCCTGCAGAAAGGACCTAGAGGAAAACACCTTAACAGGCAGCTCCACCTTGGATGGAGAGAGGAGGAACACTAAATAAACCATGAGGATGAAGCAACTGAGAACTGCAAACTGGCTGCAACACCTGCTTGAGTAGCTGCAAGTCACATATCTGGTAGTCAGCATGAAAATGAGCCTTACTATTAAAAGAAAAAAACAACCCAAACCAAGTGAAAACAAAAAACCCAGGGAGCTTTAAGCACTTGCCAATCAATGCAGCTCAAAGACACTGCTGGGTTGGACGTGGCCGTGGGCTGAGTACAGGTATGGGCAGCCAGGAAACAGCCAGTGCACGGGCTTTGTCATCCCTGAGCACATGACTCGTATGCTTGCACTTTGTTCCTGCCTCTTGTCTCTGCTCTGAAGGTCCTTCGCAGGCACGTCACCGCCTTTCTTTCCCCCCTGGCAGCTCTTCACAGTGTTCTCCAGGAGCTCTGCCTTCCCCATGAGGACTTGCCTTCTGCAGCGGTGAGCATTGCAGATGCCAACAGCCAAGGCTTGGCTTGGTAACCCCAAGGAGCAGTGCAGAGACTGTGCTCCTGGAAGATGTCTCTCCCACCGCATCTCCCATACCTACACATGGGGTCTGTCTGCAAATCCTTTTCCCTGGGGGACTGGGGAAACCAGACCCATCAGCCAGTGACCAAGACATTTCATGAGGACAATTGATTTTTATCATCGTGAAGGACTCTTCTGTTTTATACATCAGAGGCAAAGAGCATCCAAGAGGAGCAAGGCTCAACAGAGCCCATTGTGTAAATGCTGCAAGGATGGAGCTGGGCACAGCGAGACCAAAAAGCTGTTTTGTTTTCAGCTTGCCGGGGAGAATTTGCTTTAGCTTTAAATGCACATTTTAAGGTCAAAGCGAGGAGAAGCTCCTGCCACATTTCCACGTGGTCCCCACCTAAACCCATGGATACTTCCCTGCTGCTTCCCGGATTTCCCCCAAACCCACATTTACCAACACGTCAGGCTGGGACAGGCTCAGGGTTTGTAACAACAGGGAAAAAAAGCAGGAAGGGATTTTTGTATCTCCTGGCTCTCATTCCAGAAGGTTTTCCTTCCCCCCTCAGCCCTGCTGACAGAGGCGGTGTAAGTCAGCTGCAGTGAGCTGTAAATAACTGAGCTCCAGAGCGGTCACATCTCTGTACTTAGCAGCATCCATTTGTGAAGGATATAAGGAGCTGCTGAATAAATGAGCTCCAAAAACTGACTATACCGAGGCTGAGCTGCCTCCAACAGCTCCCTTCTCACGTGCTCCCGGCGCTCCCGTTCCCTTGGGAAAAATGGCATTGGGAGCTGTGGGAACGCAGTGGTCCCCTGGGAACATCCCACCGGAGCCATGCGGTACCTCCAAAGCCCCACTTGGTCTTTAGGTGCCGCCTAGACACGGACCAGGGGGTTATCTCTGTCTTCCCATGTCTCTCCAGCCTGTGCATCCATATAGGTGATACCACTGCGAGCCGTCCAAAATTCATCCTTGCAGCATGTCTGCGCACTGCCTTCTGTGTGCAAAGACGCCTTCTGCGTGCAAAGACGCCTTCTGCTGGAAAGAGGCACCATCCAATGCGGTGTTTATCTCAGCATGAGGACCTGCGCAACTGTTGATGAACGCCCTTCCCTGACGAGAAGAGCGCTGATTGCCTGGTAAAAGACGTAACTTTAAGAATCCTTAATTTGCCTCCTCACAGGGAATACCCGGAAAGCGGTGGTGAGGAATTGATTGGAGGGAAGGCTTTTTCAGGCATCCCAGATCCTCTTGATTGCCCTGGGATAGATGTACTGGAGAGTCCCAGCAAACATCTACCAGGGTTCAGCTTACTGATGGTTAGCTGCAAAAAACCGAAGTCGCTCATGTATTTCAGCAGAAAAACATTGCTGGCCCTGAATTGTTACAAAGATTTCGGGAAAATAACTGGACTTTCTTCCATTGCACTTCTTATAGCTAGAGTCTGGGCCAAGAGCTCTGGGCTCACAGCTCCAGAAAACAACTTGGTGAACACCACCTCCTCCTTCTCCTCCTGCCACTGCTGCAGAGCCTGCACACTTGCCACGGTGACGGTTCACCAGCAGAAAGCCCTGAGCTTTCTCTGCAAGACAACTTTTGCTTTTCACATCACCATCCCCTCTGCATAATTCTTTGGTCTCCGGCCATTTTCTCCTCAACTTTCTGGGACTTCTTGGGCTCGTCTTGCTGGGACGTGCAGCCAACCCCAGGGGGAGGCAGAGGCAGGGAGGACTGCGAAGCCTGAGAACAGATGAGCATTTCAGGCTGGCATGGCACAGGAGGTCAAAGCAATGCCAGCGCTGACAGACCCAGTTCCCAGGCATCATGACGGAGCCTGTCAGCATTTTTTGCAAGCCTTGCCACCCTGGCCCTCTGCCATTCGACCTCTGGATGCTGCCCACGATGCGTGCGCACTGGGAATATATGGAGAGTTTGGGGCAGTGAGTCCCAAGTAAGGCAGTCTCATTTTTAGGGAGATCCTACCAACGTGGACTCACACGCTGTGTTCTTCTGGGCTTGCTGGGTTTCTCCAGACACAGCCAGGGCAGCCCCTAGCCACCGGTCACGTGGCTCCTGCAGATGAAGGCTCCTCACCCAGAGCCTGGACTGTACCCCCTGTTTGCAGTTTCATCCAAGAAGGAAGCTCTTGATGGAGGCTCTTATATAGGATGGGAACTGGAGACACCCTAATTTGTGAACCCTTTCAGTGGCAGCCACTGACTGCTGTTGGAGGGGCTGCCAGACCCACCCAGCACGGCTGTAGCTCACTGCTATTCAGCAAATGGGGGAGCTTGACTCCCCCAAGCCCACGTCACCCCTTGATGGTGCTAGATGAAGGATGAAACTATTTGACTACGTATGCAGAGTAGTCATCAGACCATCCTGGCTACAGCTGGACCAGCAGGGGTTTTTTGGTGGAAACCATTCAGGGCTTCATAGCAAAAAGCAGAAAATAGCCAGTTATTAATCTAAAAGCTTAGAGGTCTCATTAAACCCCAGAAGATCGCAGATAATTGCAAAGTGACACTCACAGCAGGGCTGGCAATGGACAAGCCACACATAGCTAAACCCGAGCACCAGCAAAGCTCTGGCCTCAAAGAACAAACATCCCAGTATCTTCTCCTGGGCTTCTCCCAAATGCTGTGACCCGCCCTGTGAAATAATTAGCTCTCTCAACAAGACCAAGATGAAAACAGACTGTTTTCCCCTCCTTTTCTGTGTGGTTGTTTGCTCTGTTTTATTGAGAACAAGCCTCGTGGTTTGGACCCAGTTGCAAAATAAAACCCAACAAGAGCTGGAAATCTGGAGCTCATTTCCTGAGTATGCATCAAGCCGTGCCTTTGCCACGTCCCCATCCAGCAGGATGAATCCTGCCCCGGCAGGTACCAACCCAGGAAGATTAAACCAGGGAAAGCCCAGCTGGACAGCTGTGCTGCATGCTGCCAAATCAGGCAGTTGCCAGCTGGGACCGATGCTGGGAAGGAGACGGTCACTTGTGGCTAAACCCAAACCTGATTTTGTCCCACTCTCTTGTGGCCAACATCCCCCGGCCACCTTGGACTCGCAGTCATCCCTGCCAGGACACACCACTCACCCTGGTGACAAAAACGATGTGCAGTGACCGCAGCCCTGTGTCCCTGCTGGAGGTACCGCATGGCTCTGCGAGAGCGGGTTTTGAGTGGGGGGATTTTGCAGGCACAGCCCTGGGAAGCCTTGAAAGCCGCTCCGTACATGGGGAGCACACGTTAATTAGCTTCACGCTGCCTAATTTTGTTTTTCAACCCTTCCCTTCATGTTGGGACCCACATCTACAAACAGACCAGCTGAGCCGGTCCTCACCAAGTGCTTTTCTCAGCATCTTCACTTTGACTCAGCAGAGCTGCCACGTCCGGTGCTCATTAGTAGCTCAAAGTAATTAAGCTCAAGTTTTCATCTTAAGCCTGGTGAGCATGTGGTACCCCCCCGCATCGGGGCTTGGGCACCCTTGGAAGCATCCCAGGGTCACATCCGAGCGAGTCCCCTCCCAGCACTCTGGTGCTCTGCCCGAATTGAAGCACGAAGCCAAGGGAAGGATCAGACCTAGTCCAAAACTTCTCATCCAAAACACTTGTGGGAGGGCAGGGAGAGGACATGGGGGGCAGGAGGCAGAAGATGAGCATAAAAAACATCCTGGTTTGTGGCCAAAAAATGGAAAATTTGTGGGAAGTGTTTTCTTTGTTGATTCAAAGCCCACAAACCAGCCCAGCTGGAGGCAGCAGATGGTTTCGCAGGGGATGGAGCAAGTGCTCGCAGGACTGAAAATAAACCCACCATCCCCAGCAGTGCTTGCATGTAAAGGGCTGGGCTGGGCTTTGGCTGGCACCCACAAACTGTCGACGTGGGAATTGGCGGTGTCACTGCAAACCTGCCCCGGGGACCTCCCTGACCGCCTGCCGGTGCCCGTCCACACCTTCTCCTAAGCCTGATTTTGCCCTCCCCAAACAGAGCCAGATTAGGCATGGGGGGCATTTCCAGCCTGCTGCTTCGTACATAGCCTCTGGCCCCCATGGTGGTATTAGAGTCAGATGTTTTCTCCAAAAAGCAGGCTGAGCCCCAATGGAGGTACAAGCCTGGCGCTGGGGACCAACCTCCTCTGCAGCTCACCCATCCAAGGAGCACCTTCCACACCAGGCTCTGAAGACCCCTATGGGGTACAGCTCTGGATAGGGCTTAAAAACCAAACCACTGCATAACCTAGCAGGAAGCTCAGGTCTTGCGCAAGAAACCTCATGCCAAGAAACACGAGAGAGAGGGGAAGTCACCCACACCAGTTGGGGAGAAGCAGGAAGAAAGGCACAACTGCCCCTTCCAGCACTCGCAGCCCCATAACCCCCAGGAAGGGTCTGGCACCCTCTGCTTAAAAATATACCTCCTGCCAGGGCTGCTTTGGGCAGCTGCCAGCTCAGCAAAGGCTTCAGAGCTTGCAAACACTCCCTTGGTTCACCAGATAAAAATGAAGCTGGCACTTAGCAAACCTGTGACCCCTTTCGGCTGGAGCTGGGGGACAGAAAAATGAAGATGTTGGTGTTGGGGAACAACAGGGTGGCTGGCTCAACACTATTTATTTCTCTATCAGAAAGGAGGGAGCCATCTGATAACACGTCTGCTTGCTGACAGCCTGGGATGCACCCCCCACAGTCAAACGAAACCTCCGAGCCCTGGCAGGACTATTTCTGTCCTGGTTTTGCATGGGGAATGTATTTTTAAAGCCTCTCCTCCCCGCCTGGCTGGGTCAGGCCAGGGGCACTGGCACCCGCCCTGAGCTGCTGGGATCCGGCAGCGGCTCCTGGGGCTGTCGGGGCTGTGCAGCAGCTTGGGAATGGCGAGATGGATGGAGGTGTCCAAATCCTGCAGGTGATCGTGGGGGAGACAGAGACCTATCCCCTTCTCAAGCAGCCTGCCCGAGCCCCAACATCAGCACAGAATTATCCCATCCCATCCCCATCCCTTCCCGTGAAGGCTGAGCCTGACTTCTCCCCAGGCAGCTCCTCTGGTGCCCTCCTCCCTTCCGAGTTTGACAATATTTCATCTCCAGCATCTTTCCTTCTCGCTACCAGCCCACTGCAGGGGAACGGCTGTGGAGGCTTTCAGTATCTCCGTGGTGATTTCCAAGCCTTAGAGGAGCGTTACTTTACAGCTCAGGACACCTTTTCCTCCCAAGACCAGCAAATGTAGTGGGAGGACAGCACAGGGCGTGGGGCTCTGCCCCCTGCCCTCCCCAGGCACAGCGCCCCTGTCCGTGGCACTCTCCTGCCCCGAGTACCACCTTTTAACACAAGGCACCTCCCTTTCCTCAACTGCAGGTGAGGACCATCATCTTGGCCTCTTCTGTAAAGCACTTGGAGATGCAGAAAAGCCATCACTGTTATGTGGGCAGAAAAGGAGCCCACAGCCACCTACCCACCAGGCCTGCAGGTGACAGAGCTACCCTGCCGCCCCTTCTGACCAAATAAATTTGGCCAAGGAAAATGGATGATATGTAGCACTTCAAGCATCTCAAAAACTTTATTTATTAATGCATGATTGGATAAGCTGCTGCTGCTTTCACCACAGCGCAGCACCAGGCTCCCCATATCCAGTTTAGAGACCTCAAAAATATGTGGAGGTGTTCAAAGTCCTCACAGAGATGCTCCTATTTCCCGATCGCTGTAGGGATGCAGGTGCTTGGCAGGCAGCGGGCGAGCCCATGGGAGGAGCCTGGTCCCCTCACCAGCAACCTGTAGGCACACAGCCAGAGTCAGGCTCAGGGACGTCAGGACAAGGAGGGCCACTCATTGGCCACCCAAAGCAGTCACCAACCATCTTGTTTAATGTGAGAAGGGTATTTCTCATCCCAGCAGCATTAATTCAGAGAGCTGCTCTGTCCCAAACCCACTCCCTGATGCTTCTGGAGTATCCTCGGGTCCTAAAACCAGGCAGTGTCTGCCTCCCCTGCCTGCTGCATGCTTGTTCACTTGGCGTGTTGCGACACTGTCCCTTAATCCGCAGGATTTTCCTTCCCAACATAGCCATTCGGGATGTAAATTAAGAGGGAATTCATGGGATTCAGGGGTTTTCATATACTGAAAGGGAGCGGGGATTTTTCAACACGCCGCTGAGTCACCGCACAGCGAGTATTTCAAAGGCTGAGCAGATGCTGGGAGGTGGGGGGAACATCTGCCCGTCTCCCAGCACCCGGGAAGGCTGATCCCAGGATGTCTTGGACACACTGCCACTGCTCGCTTTGGAGAAGAGAAGGAGCATCCTCCCCTCCCTGCCTCCCCTCTGCCCTGGGGGGCTGCAGATGGAGCAGCAGAAGAAACAACCCGGCTCCTACTTGAACGGAGGGGTCTGTAAGCATGGCACGGACATGGTTACAAAGCATGGCTGGAGCTCCTCAGCAAGGTCTGCAGATGGAGGGCTCACCCCTTGCAGCAGGGGAAAAAATGTTAAGTGAAAAGAGACAGGGCTAGGAAAGCTCAATTATAGGAAAACAGATATTCCCCTGAAAAACACGCATGTGGTTATGGCTTTGCTTGTGCCGCTTCGGGGAGCGAGCTGCAGGTGCTGCAGTCCCAGGGCAGAGCATCACCGTGGGCCTCACCCTGGGCTCCTCAGGTCTGTGTGCTGCATCCCTCCATCCGGGCTTGCTCACGAAACAGCCTCCCCCAACCCTGAATAAATACTTGCCAGCTAATTCCATTAAATCCCAGCGAAATGAGACCACCATGGCAGGAGATGCCATGGCATAAATGCCGTGCCAGGGGCGTAAGCTGCGGCAAGGGTAAGTGTAAAACCTTGCTAGCTTGGAAGACAGCAGATACCTGAATGCAGAATCGGTAGAGAAAGTCAGTCCCTCCTCAGCCAGGCTGGGGACAGTCCCCTGTTAGGGACCTGGCCACACGGAAAGCTCGGGTGGCAGATGCCCTCCACAGAGGCCAAAGGCTTCCACATCTTTGGGAACGAAGCACAACATGGGATGGGTCTGAAGAGCACGCTGCGGTCCTGCCAGCGCCATCCCACCGCTGCTTCCAGAGGAGCGTCCCCAGAAGTCCCATTTCTGTGGGACCATGGCCCGGATGAGCGTGGGAGCCAGTGCGAGGGCTGTGCCTTGCTGAAGGCAGCGTGATGATGCTCCAGAAACACTTCTGGGGATAAATATCACCAGGCATGAAGACTTATTTATGGTAAAAGGTAGTAACAGGAGAAGGTCAAACGGAAACAAGAGGATCACGAATAAGCATCGGCTCCAGCTCAGCTGCACACCGGCAGCCAGACGCGGCTGTCGGCACAAACGCCAGCCCAGAGACCGCAGCAGCCCCGTACCAGCACGCTGCATTTCCTGGCCCCCTCCTTGTACCTGCAAACAGGGCACGCAGCACCAAAGCACTAGCATTTCTGCCCATCCCTACCTATTTTCTTGGCATCCCGATGATCTTTTGATGAACGCACTGTCTACGACTCACTCGGAAGCAATACCGGGCACCATGTTTTTATCAAAGCACGTTGCACCTGAGCGCTGCAATTGCTTTCCTCCGGCCGTGGCGAGGTGAGCAGAGCAGTTCCGGTCCCTGCTCGCTGGAGCCAGCACCCAGACCCTGCCGCCCCGTCTCAGCTCTGCGGCACCACAAGGACCGGGGCTGCAGTATGCTCCACTGCACCCATCAATCAGCTCCACAGCTAGGTCCCTAATTAGGGCTGCTTTGTGAGCGGCAGGCTAATGAAGCCAGCCGGTACACGGGTCAGGAGTCCTTTGCCCTCATCTCTCTTCCCAGTGCAACACCTCCTCGCCGCATCCCAGCTCTCGCTGCCTGCCAAAGGGACCACACAATAACGGAGTTTTCCCTGCCCTTCCCCCCAGGGACGTGCGCCTGCCCTGCCTGCCACGGCAGCTGCTTTCCCACAGGACGAGGGACCCAGCCTGAAGCGCCTTTCAGAGATGCCTGGGGGGTCCTGCAGCCAGAGACGGGGTCCCCCGCACCCGGGGCGGTAGCTCTGCAGGGAGGAAAACAATTTGGGAGACTGAAATGACAACCACTACGGCCTTCAGCCTGCCCACGTGGGATTGCACCTGCCCACCTCTGCCCGGCAGCTGCTTTCCCACAGGACGAGGGACCCAGCCTGAAGCGCCTTTCAGAGATGCCTGGGGGGTCCTGCAGCCAGAGACGGGGTCCCCCGCACCCGGGGCGGTAGCTCTGCAGGGAGGAAAACAATTTGGGAGACTGAAATGACAACCACTACGGCCTTCAGCCTGCCCACGTGGGATTGCACCTGCCCACCTCTGCCGATAACACCGCCCGCCTCCTGCCCGGTATCGGTGTGGCAGAGCTCTGCATGCAGTCCCCTCTGCCCATGGGTGACCCGTGCCGCCCTGTCCCTCCTCCCTCCAACTCACAGGCCAGCCCAAGCGGGAACCCCGACCACCAATTAACAAAAATACCATCAAATCCGCTAGTTGAAAGTGTCCTGCCTCATCAGCTTAATAAGGAAATTGTTTAAAAAAAAAAAAAAAAAAAAAAAAAAAAAAAAAAAAAAAAAAGCCCCCAAACAGGCATTGCTTTCAGGCAGCTGGCTCCTAGCTCAACTTCAACAAATAATTCATTTGCAGTTATTTTTATGAAGTTTATTTTATGCCCTCTTGTAATGCTTGGGATAACTATAAAATGATAGCAAAAACTCAAAAAACCCCATCCTAGCAAAAAATTAAATGACTACAAATCATCAAAGTATCAGCTCGATGGATAAATCACTACGTTCCTTCGCAGGCACAACAGGATGCCAAAATTAAAACCTCAGATATCCTTTTGGGTTTCATGACTATGTTCAGCTGTATGCAAAATATCTCATTAGTGCTGGCTGGAAAAAAAAAAAAGCTATCTATTTATTTTGCTCTATGTCATAAAATGAAGGGGAATAATCCCTGGAGCAGGGTCCCACTGAATGAAGTCCCCCTTTTCTACACTGAGTTAATAAATCAGATTAAAGGCATTTAGGTTCTGCGTGGAAAGGACAACTCCAGTTCTTCTAAATATCAAAGTGATTAGTTTTCTGAGGATTTGAGAGATTTAAGAAACATGGAAATGCTTTGGGATGGTGTAAGGCTTCCAAAGCACTCAATTACTGCAAGATACAGCGACTCACAAAAGTATCAAGCGATTGCCTCAGCAAGCCCACAGAAAACGGTTTCCCCAGCCCCTCCTGCTGGATCCCTGCCATGCTCAGGAGATGCTCGAGTAGCACAGATACTGCTGCACTATGTTATTCCTCTTCCAAGTTCAATATTCTATGGAGCACCTCAGAAAGCAGCTTTCCTGCACCTACAGCACAACAGCTGACCCCTCCCCAAACGAAGGATAATTTAACATCGTTCTGATACAGGTTTCCACATAACGGCTCTTCTAAGATGCAGAATATTTGATTAAAATTAGAATGCAAAATAAACTTCGCAACACATCACCCAGTGCAGGACAGTCCTGCTTAGCTGGGTCACAAGGGATTCACTTTTTGCGATATAGTATTGCTGTTAAATAATATTAACAACTAAATACACTGAAATAGGCTGTTCAAAGAGCCAGGACCCTGGCCCAGTTTCTCTCCTCGCCTCAGTTTCCCAGATGTATCAGCACGAGTTATGGTATGTCCTCATCATCCATTAGTGGCTGCCAAACACATTTCCAGGAACGGGACTTATCTTACATGTCCCTAGACTTGATTCTGCATAGGGCAGAATGACAAATACTTTTCTTTCCCCCAACAAATTCATTTAGTAAGTAAAATCAAACCAAAACCAGCTGAGAAGGGAGGAAGGAGAATGGGAATCAAAACCCAGGCATGCTGAAAACCAACTGCTGGCTGACTGCAAATCAGGAGAGGGAAAAATCTGCCATGAGCAGTTAGTTATAAAGATAATTATATCCTTAATGAACAGCGGAGCCTTTTTAAAAATAATCCACCTTGATTAAATTAATGGAGGAAAAGCACAGGTTTTAGACGTGCACTGGAGATGCGGGATGGTACAGCCCTGACTTCACTGGCTTCACCCGTTCCTAGTTCAAATCGGGTCTGACCATTATCACCATCAAATACCTGCTCGCTGACCTGGACGAGCTGAACCAGCGATCCCCATTTAATTCTGCGCGCCCATCTTTTGCAAACAGCCCGTGCAGTTGGCAGCAGCTTCCAGGGGCTGAAGGGATGCCACCCCCGGACACCAGCTGCCTCTTCTCCTGCCTACCAGGGGAGGACAGTGGTTTCCAGCATCATCATCCTGGCACCTTAACCTGGCATTAGACCCGTGCTTTAGAATTATTTTTAAAACATCAACAAAGCATGGGATGCCAAAAGAGGCCACATGTCGGCTGGGCTGGTCTTGTTGCAGAAAGCCACAGAGAAACGAGCAGCCACCACACTCAAGATCTCAAGAACGTGCTAAAGGCAAACGTGCTCTTCTCCCCCCGCCCCCAGACTATTTTTTCCTTCAGCTATTTCAGTTGATTGAGGCTATAATAAGAACTGGGAAACTAACACCAAGGTTAAAAGTGCCCGGCATCATTTTGGAGACAACACGCTTCGATCCTGTTGGTTCAGGTTTCAACGGGTTTGTGTGCGTTAAACGCGGATTATTCTGGTATGTGGGACTATGAACCATTTTATTGAACTACCTTTGAGATAAAAAAAATCGGTTCCCAGGCAAATGTTATTCACTCAAACAGACTGTCTATGAAGAAGCACATAATAAATAAATATAAAGGCAGCCTTACTGCCTTGTTGGTGCATTCATCACAGGCTGCAAAGAACAGCAGCTTGACTAAATACTTTTAATATACAGTTTCCAGACTAAAATCTGTTGCTGAGCCACGTGAGCTGCCCGGGAATAATTTATTTTCCTTTTTAACAGAGGCTTCTCGATGCAGTTTTCTTTCCTTCCAGCTGAATAATGCACAGAGATGGCACTTGTCTGCAACTCACCCACAGAGAGTGCTGCCGTTTTCCCAACAAACGTTACCTAAAGGATATGGGGAAGCCCGGACAGATCGCATCCCGCCCTCGGTTGAAATCCAGCACTGCCGGAGGTTTTCACCCAGGCTGCTGCCCAATTCCCGGTGCAGAGCCCCGCTGGGATGCTTTCCTGAGGTGTCAGGCTGTGGTTTTAAATCCTGAAAAGCTCAAGTTGTAGAAGTGCAGAGACAAGGGACTGAAACCATTAAGCAGGTTCATTACTGGATTTGCTGATTAAAAGCAGCGAGCTCATAGGCAGCTTCCACAGCAGCACCACGGCACAGCAACGGCACCCCGCGCTCAGGATTCTCCGGTACTCATCTATCCACAGCAGGAATGTGCCCAGCAAACCCTAGCCATGATTTTCTTTTAGAAGAGAAAAAGGTATTTAGCTATTTGACCAAGTTGAAACATGCTGCATATCCCCTATATAAGCAGTTTTTAATGCTCCTCTCCCCTGAACCCAGTGCTGCCCTGTGGTGTTTTCAGTCCTCGCTCAGTGCGCAGTCCGTGCCGGCAAGGGCTGCGACCACAACCATTGCTTTGGGGCCAATACTTCCACCAAACGTGCCCACTAATACCGACAGAGCCAGGCTTCGGAGCCGGTTAGGGAGGCAGAAGGAACTTGCTAGCACAGAGCAATAACTCCAGATTTCCACCCGCAGGTTTCCAAGACCTCCCTCAACCCTGTAATGACCCGATATTGATTTCCAGCCCTTTGAAAACATGAAGGATGCCAACCCCTTTTTTAGTGATTATGAGGTCTCTAATTTCATTCCAGGCCATGGCATTTATATTTTCATTATCCACAACCTCCAGGGTCATTACAAATACGAGATTACAGTGTCGGTGCTTAACGGCTGTTTAATTCAACAGCATTTCAGAGTTAATAAATGCAATTCAATTTCTCAAAGCCAAGTGGCTTCCTGACCGGAGAACACAGCCTGTATCCAGCCAACCAAACCCATACGCCACTGGTTTCTATAGGAATAGAGCTGGCACATATGGCAGCGGTATGCGAAATTACACGGTGGCAGTAATTTCTTTTGCACTACTCACATGCTTTTCTTTTAA